CCTTGGAGGAGTTGCAGGCTACTGCTATTATTCCTAGGTTAAAGGAGATTAGTTTCAGAGTGGTGCGCATCACATCAATTACAGCCAAAATGGAGGATCAACTTGGTGCTTCTTCCAGTCCAGGGTTGTTTAAAACTACTAAAGCCATAAAAGACTTTCCATTTGCACCCGCTTTTCCATTTACATCTCTATGAAAATTTGAAACATCCTGATAAGCGGGTTTGTTCCACCTAAAGCGGAGTTCCACCCAAAAGGGTAAGCTCCGCTTTATAGACTGGTCCCCCACTCCCCATTAAGGATTGGCACCTGTGGGGAGCGGATACCCAAAATTGACAGGTACCCACTTCCACTGCGATAGCCTAGGCAATCAGAAGAGGAAGTTGTCCTCCTACCCTCCCTCCCCATAGTCTTGTGGGACATGTGACAGGTCCCAGAAGATGATGGAACCATTCAGGCAGCGCTACTCGCACATGCGGCACCCAGCTGTGAATCCGCAAGCTGTCACAGCCGGGTGCCCACACTGAAGATGCCAGCGCCTGGAATACAGGACGGCTGGTGAAAGGGTCTGCGGCGGGGGCACTGTGGGATTGTGAGACAGGTGAGTGGCTGTTTTTTTTTTTTTAAGTCAGCAGCTACAGTTTTTGTAGCTGCTGCCGACTTATTTTTTACAGAGTGAGTGGAACTCCGCTTTAACTTAGAACTTTATAGTGGCTTCCTAGCCCTTGACTGTAAATATCGTCTGATTTTTGAGTTGCTCTGATCTTTGACTGATGAACTCACCTTGAGGAGTTGCAGGCTACTGCTTTTACTCCTAGCTTAAAGGAGATTAGTTTCAGAGTGAAGCGCATCACATCAATTACAGCCAAAATGGAGGATCAACTTGGTGTTTCTTCCAGTCTAGGGTTGTTTTAAAACTACTAAAGCCATAAAAGACTTTCCTTTTGCACCCGCTTTTCCATTTACATCTCTATGAAGATTTGAAGCATCCTGATAAGCGGTTTGTTCCACTTAAGCACTTTTTAGCCTTTATCCAATTGGTGAGGGTTTTGTGCAGAAGTGATCTCTTCCCACCTGATGCAGGAGTGCCCTGCCTTTAACAAGGCACTTATTGAAAGCGCATTTGCTACAGCAGTATTAAGTGGTTGGAAGCCCTTTCTACAGCTCTGTTCTCTCGTGGATCCTGTTCTTCATCTGATGCTGGCTGTGACCTTACTTTGTTGAACCATGTTTGCCTGGCTTCCATTTTTTTTTTCCTTCAAAGTATGTCAGATGGAGAGTGCGGATAGAGCCACCCCTATAGGAAATTTCATCTGGGTCACTGGGGTCTGATCAAAGCATGACCAGTATATGTTCAGTTTAGGGCTCATGTACACTGCAGCTAATAAACTCACATTTAGGAGCTGTTCAGCAGTTTTTTCAGCAGCCCCTGAACTCTCCCTAATGTTTTCCTATGTGTTAAAGAAAACCGACTGTAAATGATGTGTACATGAACGCAGAAAACTTGCATTCAGCAGTAGATTTTATCAGCGTTTCAAACGCAAAACGCTTGTAAATGTAGCTAACTTCCATCTCCAGATGCTGTCCAGAGCCTTTTTTCATCATGAAAAATTCATGCAAAGAAATTTCCCAGTACTCAAATGGACCTAGCAAACCATACTTTGAGGTTTTGCACGAAAAAAAAAAAAAATGTTAGACACTGCTGCAATAATTTCTGCACAGAAATGAGCTGGAACACATCCAAACACACACAAAAAAAAAAAAAAAAAAAAAAAAAAAAAAAAAGACAGCTAATCTCAACAAATACTGCTCTCTCTGCTTCTGCTTTCGCTAATTCTCTCAAAATGTCTGAAATTTTTAATTTTTTTTACTGTTTTTCAGTGCATTCTGGAAGGTCTCCTGAGGTTATCTTTAAAAACACTTCTAAACACAAAATGCACATAAACAGACGTTTTTTAACCTATGTTTTCCAGCAGTCAGCTTCCACCATTCAGAAGTGTCCCGTGTACATAAGTGTCCGTTTATGAACCAGCGGTAAATGATCGCTGCTCAGTTCTCTGGCATTCTTGGAGAACACAGTTCTCCTGTGAATGCCTTTTATGAAGCAGTTCTCCAAACGAAGGGAGAACAGTCTCCAAACGTTGGAGAACAGTCTAGAAACGCTGGAGAACGGCTGATTTTACTATAATCTTGCGAGATTACAGTAAAAAGATCAGTTTACTAAGCAGACGTAAATTATCGCTGCTTAGTTTGTGGTCCCTCCGATTCTCCAGCTCTGGGCTGGAGAATCTGGAGGGAGAACACAGATCTCCAGTGAAGGGCTGAACATGTTCTTCGCTGATCTCCTGAGTGTCATATACTGTGAATGACCAGAGAATAGCTGCGATCTTCTGAATCGCAGCTATTCTGTGTCATAATCGGACACCTTAGAGCCTTAACCTCCAGTATAAGATTACACCACCTCTTTCACATGTCAGAATATGACATTTGCAGATGGGAGACCCTGCATACTTAAACATTGTATAAGTTGGAATCATGCCTGGAGATGGGTTGGTCCTGTCTTGCGTGCAGTGGAAGGAGGCACACCTATCCATCCAACACTTGGAATTTTTTTGGTTTTCCCAGAAAGTCTCCAGTAATGCAGTTGGGGAATAGACAGTAACAATTCACGTTATGCAATTGTACCATATGATGCTTTGTATTCAACACTACTCTTCTGCACTGGTAGCCTATACAGGTTTACTTCAGGTCTATGCCATTTAGCAAATGGGTACGGCATAGAAACTTTTCTAAAGGATACTAGAAGGCATAATTATAAATAAATGAATATGGCATTCATTGTAGGTGAATCACCAAGTGCATATGTTTTAAATGAGGGATTGATTCACCATCAGTGAATGTCTAGTAAAATTCACATTTACTGCTTTTATAAAAATATGCCTCCAGGTCATGGACTGCACCTCAACTCCTAACCCCCATGCAAAGAAAACGGGTTAAATTGTTAATTGGTTATTTAATAGTTCCTGCTTGCAAATTCTTTTTGGGACTGGAATTCTTATTTAAACTCCCTACTGAAAATATGAGGACTGTTATTGGTGGTATCTGTGGAAAATGCTACCTGCCTGTTCTACTTATCCATTGGTTGGTCTACAGATCAAGAGTTCTCCCTTCATACTGAATATTTAGGCTGGGTTCACACTGGTGAGCTGAAGTAATGTGCATTGGGACCCTGCTATTACTTCTTAAAAAGTGTTAATAAAATCCCACAAGAGTAAAACCAGTCTGTATATGCAGCAAAGCATGCTTGTTAGACTCACTGTGGAACCCAAGAGGTTAATCCTCCACATTGTGTAAAAAGGCTGTTTTATCCTGACTTCTCTGATCCTACCCTTCTACTGTCCCCAATCCATCTGCTGATTGTAGAGAGCTCTAAAAGAGTCACCCTGCACATGCTCAGTTTACTGCGTATGGCCGAAGATTTTTTTTAAATCTATGGCAGACTGGCAACTACATTTTAGAAGGAAGCCATCAATGGCAAAAACTACTTCTTTCAGTACAGGTTTTCAGTATCACAGGGAAGAGATTTTTAAGGTGTAACTTGCAAGGATTTTAACAAGCTTTGTAGCAGATTCATTTCTTTTCCTGTTCTAGGGAAAAAAAAAAAAAAAGAAGCAAAAAAAGCAGTTTGTTCCACCATGTCCTTGCCAGAGCGAATCCTGACTGGGAGAGTCTGGTTCATTATAACCATCTGGTGCGCTTTCAGTGTTCTGATGAGAAAAGTTGCAGCACCTGCATCCCTTTAAAATTAACCCTTAGCAAGCATCTCACCAAACATGAAATTCCTTCTGCAGAGGATGCCTAAAGGCAAATAGGCGGTTCACTTTGATATTCCCTTAGCTTAGTGAATGTGGTGACAAATTCATTTTAGAAAGAATATAAAAAAAAAAAAAAAAAAAAACACGCAAGGCAACAGATGGCATTTTTGCTTGCACTTTCCCGTTCAGAAGTGAAAATTCCCTTAAAAAGTGAACAGAATATTTACCTTTAGTAAATCGGCTTCAACAAAACAAGCGATGATTGACATTTCTGAGGGCATTCTGTACACCAACTGTGTTTTGCACACCTCCAGCATGCCATATTGCATAGATTTTTTTTGACAGTTGTAGAAAATTACAAAGACTTCAGACTGAAATTGAAAAGGTACTTTTAATAGCATTCAAAAGTAAAAAAAAAAATTGCTTGTCTTGGAATTTTATATGCTAGATTTTAACAAAAGTGGAATTTCCCTTTTACCATATTCTATTTTAAACCAATTTGAAGTCAATGCCAGCCGAAAACAATTTTTTTCTTTCCTAATAGAGTGGGCCAAGGGTTAAAACGTGCATGTTTAATTGCCCTTCATGCACTTCCACTCATTTATACAAAGAAAAAGGCAGAAAACATGGGTTTTTTTTTCTTGCTTTCCTTGTCCTAGCAACCCAATAGATGTAATCCTGCTCCACTTACTAGACAGCTAGTAAAAGTTTTGGCTGGAGTTGGTTTAAATGTTCCAAATGATTGTCTCAGTAAAATACCAGCTGCCAAACAGCCGTCTGTGTCACTCTAAACCTGTCCTGTTTACAGTTCACAATCCTAGTCTTATCTCCCGAGTGTCATCACCAGGCAGTGACCCCATGAGACACAGCAGAAACGCCTTTCTTTAATGTCAGATTAAAACAAATCTCTTAAGGGCAGGAAAATGCAACACATACTTACTAAAATGGGAGTAATATGAACACGCAGAATTTCATAACACTTACATTTTTATTTAATTAAAAAAGATTTCTACAAAAAACATCATATAAAAAGTGGTTCCCCTGCATTACATGTCCCAAGTGGGCTGCTAGCAGCCACACACAATCCATCTGTGCATGGGGGAGCCTGTGACCCTGACAGCCTGCAGTTTTGCACTGCTACCAGAATGAAATGGAGGCGCTGTCCTCGTCTCTGAACTTGCTAGCAAATCACTTCTTCTGTGGAGTGCTTAGCTTCTGCATTCCCTGAATCTTCTCCAGTAACCCAGTTATAAAGGCCTGTTGAATAAATAAACAGTTAATAGTGGCATTTTCCTTGGTCCATTATACATCAACTTAATTATTACCAGGTTTCCAAAGCACTCCTTCAATCTTATAGAATAGTGAACCCAAACCAGGGTTGCCTGGGTGTTACAGAAGTTCCCTTACTTTTCATTAACAGTCTTAAGCTGGCCACACATACATTACGAAAAGGGATTAGACCAACTACTAGTTACTAAATCTAAAGGATACGATGGTCTTCCTAAACAATGCAGCCATCTTACATCCAGTCACCTAGACCCATAGCTAAAAATTGTTCAGCAGATCATGGTTATCATGGCTATTCTTGTGTCCAGCAGACAAGCTGCTGATCGCAGCCATTTATCTATAATGTGTCTGTACTGATTACTATTTATTTAGAACTAAAAGCATAGCAAACATTAGGTTTCAGTTTGTGAATGAACAGGAAGCCTTTGTACAGAGTGCCTCCTGGGCAGCACAGTGGCTAAATGGTTAGCACTTCCACCTGGCAGTACTAGGGTCGTTGGTTCAAATCCCAACCATGGCACCACCTGCCTGGAGTTTGCATGTTCTCCCTGTGCGGGTTTCCTCCGGGTACTCCAGTTTACTCCCACACTGTGTAAATTGATGGAGCTATACAATTACCTGTAATAATAAATTATATTAATTCAGTGCAGGAAGAGGATTGAGGATCTGTGTCCTCCATCTCTTTCTTGGTCTCAAAAATGAGACGTCAGGGGTCTGATTAGATCCCTAATATTTCACCAAAGCCCCAACCCAACAGGAATGTAAAAACTAAAAAAAAAAAAAAAAACCACAACCCAAGACCTCATTCACACAGAGTGAATTTCTGTGCTCAGGATTCACAGGTGTTTCAAAAACAGGCTGCTACCTGCGGCTGAACGCAATCAATGAAAGGCTGACAAACTGTGGCTGTTCTCATGTATTCTCACATGCTGGATGCAAACTGGGCTGCTATATATGCATGTGACTGCTTGGATGCGATCCAAACACCTTTGACTCCTGGGCATAGAAATACACTCCTTTTTGATGCTGTACAGGACTGTGTCCATGTGAACGAGACATAATACACAAAGTATGTGTTGTAGCACTGCGTTGCAATCAAATGTATGCCTTTTTAATTCTATCACAATAAACACCAATGGAGCACCACACATGCCACTGCGACTGGGCATTAGCAAAATGCATAAATGAAAGCCAACCTCCAGATTTTTTTTTTTTGTGTACAGTTCTGCGTACCTTCAATTTTCACCATTTCATTAAAAAGGCACAATTTAAAATGTACAAATATTTGTTTTATTAACTCAATACAGTTTTATATTTTAGATTTAGCAGGAAGAAAATCTTTTGTAAGATTTGGTGTTTGTGCCCAAAATAAATGATTTTAGTGTGTTTGCGCAAACATTTATCAAAATTATAGTTGTTAAAATTATTGTGGAACAAAAAAAAAAAAAAAACAAAAAAAAACCACTGAACCAAAACAACTTTTTCTATCGATCCTTTGCCTTCAGAGTTTGCAAAAGATCCCCCAAACTATAAGTTTTCTGAAGGCTGTAAAGGGAAAAATAAAAAAGCAATGGAAGAAATTGCAAAAATGGTCTGGCCACCTGAATTTAAAAGTAGAGCCAGGGCCTGGCAGCAAAAGGGTTTAAAAAAAAAAAAAAAACAAAAACAAAAAAAAAACCCAAACAGTAGTATATCATCCAAAATAGTCCAATAATGTGGATTGTCTGCATGCACAATGCTGGTCCCCCAGAATTCTGAGCTGTAGGCACTTCTACACATAGAAAAGTCATCTGGATACACCAAAAAGTTTGTATTAAGCATTAGGGTCCTTTCAGATGAGAGTTCCACTCAGATCTGCCTGTCAGTTTTTCAGGGGATATAAATGGAAGCTCAAGGTTAGTCTATGGAGCGGTAGATGTAAACAGAAAGGTTTCCATCCTTTTTTTTTTCCCCCTGACCTAAACAAGGAATGTACACAGATACACTTCTCCAACATATACTAAAACCGGCGCTCAGATCTTCATGCTACACAGGAAACACGGAATCTGTCACTTGCTGAGGTGCAGCCCTCAATAGATCGGGGAAAAGTGATACTAGCAAAAAAGAAAAAAAAAAAGAAAAACAACTTGGCGCACTCTTGTCGTGCATTACCGTGATATATAGGAATTTATTATAAAATCACAAATGCATACGCAAACCAAAAAAGGTCATAATAACAGAGACAAGAAGCCAAAGATGACAGTTCTAGACTGTGGGAGTCCTTTGGTGGAAAATGCTAACGCACTTCAGGAGTCAAACTCCCTTCCTCAATGCTCTTTTTACAGATACACTTCTGTTTACAATCGGCCTGCCCATAGACCGAACATAGGAGAGTTTTCAGTGCCAGTTCACATCAAAATCACACAGGAATGCGCTAAATGTTCCTATGCGATTCAGTGCGATGCCATTTTCAGCCCGTTTATTTTAATGGCTGAAATTGCATGGGCTACTTGTAAAAACACACTGCAACCAGATCCAATGGTACTGGAGTGCCACGTGACATGGTGCAGGCAAAAATGCACTGTGTTGGCAATCTGCGTTTGGGGCATCGATAGGAATCTATTGACATCTGCAGAAGATCAAACACCTAATGCATTTGGAATGTGGTGCGGGAAATGCGAACAGATGGTGGGTTTCCCACACGGCATTCCAGTGCAATTGGGCACTCAAGCTGGTGAAAGAAGCTGAACCAACATCCATTCTATTCTGCTCTGATTCAGTAGATCTGTTTTAAGTAAATAAGGCGCCAAAGACAGATAAATGTGTAAAAAGGTGAACACTTACATCTGTTGGTTTGTAACAGTCATTAAGAAGTTCCTGAAAGAGAAAAACAAACGTGTCAGTCAGCTGGAAAAGTCTTTACTAACCCCCACCCCTTAAGTAGTTGTGAACATCTTTTTTTTTGGGGGGTCTAGTGCGCTCCGGTGCATTTTACCACATTTCAGTACAGTTCTGTGCAGGAAAATATGCAGCAAGCTCTACTTTTTTTTTTCTGGAATTGGAACGCACTGCAACTGCAAGCACTTGTGTGAACCATGCCATTGACAACCATGTAACCTACTCTCTGTGCATTTTGGATGCAGAAAAAAGCACTGGAATGCATGTAGTGTTATCCAGCTCTTAACACGGCGTTCCACTCACTCTGCAAAAAACAAAAGTCAGCAGTTACAAATACTGTAGCTGCTGACTTTTAAAAATGAGCCACTCACCTGTCCCATGATCCCGCTTTGCCCCCGCGCTGCAGCCCGTTTCACCGGCTGTCCTGTATTCCAGGTGCCGGCATCTTCAGTGTGGCCACCCGGCTGTGGCAGCTTGCAGCTTCACAGCCGGGTGCCCACTACGCATGCGCTTCCTGAATGGCCCGTGGTCTTCTGGGACCTGTCATGTGTCCCACAAGACTTCGGAGAGGGAGGGTAGGAGGACAACTTCTGCTTCTGATCGCCTAGGTGATTGCAGCAGAAGTGGGAGCGAGGGAACCTGTCAATTTCGTGTACCCACTCCCCACAGGTGCCAATCCTTAATGGGGAGTGGGGGACCAATCTTTAAAGCGGAACTTCCCCTTTTGGGTGGAACTCCGCTTTAATGAATCTGTTTATATTAAAAAAAAAAAATTAAAAACTTGGCTCTTATATTTTTTTGACTGCTCAAGTGCAGGTCACGTGATCGCTGTTCGATTCATGGACCTGCTGGTGGGCGTGTATAGAGCGGCTAACAGTGGCTTCCCCGCTATCCACTCCTCACCGATGTCAGATGTGTCTACCCATTCTATACACGCCCACCATAAATTCCATGAGTTGCTTAGGAGTACACAGCGATCACGTGACCTGCTGGTGAGCATGCATGGCGTGTGCAGACACATCAGACATGTCTGGCAGCTTCTTCTGGGGGAGGAGCAGCTGGGAGGGTAAGTATCTGTCAGTCAAGACTAGAGGGATGGGCGGGGGATGCATGGTTTACTCTGACCACAAAGGATACAGGCATCCTGTGTGATAGTCATCCTGCACTTAGATACAGGTACAATCTGCAGAGGATGTAAATGGACACGGATTGGCTGCCATGCTAAGCGCGATCAGTTTACTTTCAGGAGGAGGGGCACAGGCAGGATCAAACAGGTAATGGAAAAGAACAGCAGACACCAACAATAGTACTGGGGCAACACAGTGGTTAGCACTTCCTCTTGGCAGTACTAGGGTCATTGGTTCGAATCCCAGCCACGGCACCACCTGCCTGGAGTTTGCATGTTCTCCCTGTGCGGGTTTCCTCCGGGTACTCCGGTTTACTCCTACACTCCAAAGACATGCTAGTAGGTCAATTGGCTCCTGTCTAAATTGGCTCTAGTATGTGTATGTATGAATGCGAGTTAGGGATCTTAGATTGTACAAACCTTTGAGGGTTAGGGACAGGGGCGGACTGACAACTCATGGGGCCCCCGGGCAATAGGGGATCATGGGGCCCGTGTCCTTGCCCAAACTCAAAAAAGTCTATGAAAAAGGTACCAGGGGCATCTCATGGCGCCCCCTGCTGACCCCGGCCCTCGGGCAGTGCCAGAGTTTCCAAATGGTAAGTACGCCCCTGGTTAGGGACTGATGTGAATGTACAATATATATGTAATGCGCTGCGTAAATTGACGGCGCTATATAAGTACCTGAAATAAATAGTATGTAGCCAGCTTTAGATTTGCTCGACTTTTTGTTTTCTAGTATATGTTCCTTTGTTAGGATTTGGGTTTAGCTGCTCAAAGAGGAATATTTTTTACACACACACACACACACACACACACACACACACACACACACACACACACACACACACACACACACACAAAGTACAAATATATTAAGGATACAGAGTGCAATTTATAATTGTTAGGTTTACAAACACTTTATGTTGTTAGAAGCTCTCCCCTGCCCACCACTCACCTTCATCCTCTCTCCTCTCTGTTCATCAGTCTCCATGTCTAACAATTCATCCACATCAATTTCCAGTTCTGGGATTTCTTCTTCCTGTGCAGACAAACACAACGGCAATGTAATACCTGCAGCTGACATAAACAACCCCATCTCCCTCCTCCTGGTAATAGGTTTTTTTTTCTTCAGAAAAACGTGATGACTGAACTTTATGCAACTAAGCAGACTCAAGAGTAAAAATGTGCATCCAAGTTATATAAATTGGTTTGAACGCAAAAATGTGTTAATTTTTGTAATATGAAATCCACTGTTCTTTGTACCTTGTGGACAAAGGCTAAACTTGGAGAAAATGTAATATGAAATGACATGTAGGGTGCGATTTACTAAAGACAAACAGGATGTTCACTTTTACTAGTGCTTAAAGAATGTGGTGAAATTTAACCTGGCAAAGAATACTCAATCACATGAAATTAAAATGTAAAAAAAAAAAAAAAAAAAAAAAAAAATACAAAAAACTAATTTTTTGCTTACACGTGGGTGATGGAAGTCAGCATAGCTTCACCACATTCAGCTCAGAAGAGAATTGGCGCAACCTTCCCTTACAAAGTGAACACAGTCTTACTGCCTTTAGTAAATCAGGCCCCACAGGCTCCAACCTATTGCTACCAGTAAAAGTTCCATTTTACTTTTGCTCCAGTTTAAAAAATTATTCAGTGCCCGTCCTTCAAAAGAATCCCCATTTCCTAGACCAGGGGTCTCCACACTATGGCCCTCTAGGTGTGGAGGAACTGCAAGTCCCATGAGGCCTGACAGAAAACAGAAATATGTGGGCTACCATTGTAAATGCTAAATTTTTCACACACATTCACTGGCATCAATGCATTCTCAATCACCAACCGATAAAGTGTGCATTACGTGTTCTGACTTCACTTGCAGCATGCTTTGTGACAGTGACAAAAGTATTTAGGGCAATAATACATATGGGCAAGCACACTAAACACTCATATGTAAAAAGGTAAGAATTTTTTTTTTCCTGTTAGGAGATGAATACAAAAAAACACACAAATTTATTACAACATGTAGTATGTAAATGATATCCCTCCAAAATGGCTAATGGTAACCGAACAGTTGTCAGTGGGCAGGCAATTTGCTATGGGGGCACACCGTATCCACTCGTTCCCAAGTTGTGTTTCTATGGACACACACAAAATTTGATTGACAGCAGCCAATGGCTCCTGCTGCTGTTGCACTCTGTGCGTGAAGAGGAAGAGAGGGGTGAAGAGATGCAGCCATGCACAGCGCTGGATCTCTTCTCCCCTCTCTTACCTTGTACCCTTCTAAAAGAGAAGGGAGGACAGAGAAACAGAAAAACTTTTTTTTTACCTTTTTGCAAGGAATGCATTAAAAGTTAACAGTTCTAGCTTTAGTATCACTTCTAATCAATGAAAACAATTAAACCAGCAAAAGGAAATCGAATTCTATTCACCTTTTTTTAATGTGATATGACCTGCAGACGGGTTAATTTTTTTTTTTCCCCCCTGGCAAGAACATGCTAAAAATGCATGCTGATGAGCATTAACAGTACACATCAATGAACAAAGCCACCTGTCATAACTTGCAGTCAAATAATAAATAGCTTAAGGCCTCATTCACCAGGTAGGGAGGGGGTTACACCAGTAGTCTGAATGGGCCGTGTGTTTATGCGGCTGGAGCCGCCAGGTGCTGGGCGCACGCAGCTCATTCATGTCCATGGGGTTACAAAAAAAATAAATACATAAATAAATTTGCCTTTTGATGATCTTACAACAACTCTTTCGTAATGAACCATAGCTAGAAAATTAGGCAGAGAACCGTGCGCTTATCGCTCTGTGCACAAAGCCCATCAGGCCCTAAAATCTAACAGGAAGGAAGGAAGACAACTTTTAGGGCCAGTTCACGCCACAAAAATGCACCCTAGGTTCGTTTTTGCTTACAGCTCACACCACATTCCATTCCGGTGCATTTTGCGGTGTTCCAGTACAGTTTTGTGAACGAAAAAAAAAAAAAAGAAGAAGAAAGTATCCAACCGCTTATATCATGTTGTCCAAACTGGCAGTACCTATCACTCCCTCCTCAAAATTAACATTAATATGATCATCAGTATGACATGGGCAGTTACGATCATTTTTTTTGCTCAAAGTTTCACCACAAGCAGTGTAGGTACTTTAAACTTGCGGGCGTTTTACAATTTTATATTTTAGGGCTTGAAAGGCTTTGTATGCAGAGAGATAAATGCACAGCTCTTGGAGTAATTTTTTAGCTATGTCTATGGGGTTGCAATAGCTGCATGGACACAGTTGTCAAATTGGGACAACCCATTTAACGTAAAGAGGCATTAAAGTTTAAAATAAATAAATAAAAATATTTTGGACGGGGCAGTGTACCGTCAAATCTTGGGTGAGAACCTTCTTCCCTCAGCCAGGGCATTGAAAATGGGTCGTGGATAGGTGTTCCAGCATGACAATGACCCAAACCACGCGGCCAAGGCAGCAAAGGAGTGGCTCAAGAAGAAGCACATTAAGGTCCTTGAGTGACCTATCCAGTCTCCAGACCTTAATCTGACTGAAAATCTGTGGAGGGAGCTGAAAGTTTGAGTTGCCAAACATCCACCAAACCTTAAAGACTTGGAGAGGATCTGCCAAGAGGAGTGGGCCAAAATCCCTCCTGAGATGTGTGCAAACCTGGTGGCCAACTACAGGAAACGTCTGACCTCTGATTGCCAACAAGGGATTTGCCACCAAGTACTAAGTCATGTTTTGTGAAGGGGATCAAATACTTATTTCCCTCATGAACATGAAAATCAGTGCATCATGTGTTAGACATGCATTTCTTTTGAATTTTTTGTTGCTATTCCCTCAGTGTTACAATACACCTACCATTCGATTTTTAGACTGATCATTTCTTTGTGTGTGGGCAAACATTCAAACTCAGCAGGGGATCAAATACGTGTCATTGTGTGTGTGTGTGTGTGTGTGTGTAAAATAAAATATAAAATAATAACAATAATTATTCCCCCTGCAGGTTTAAGCCACACCACTCGCTTTAAGCCATGGCATACTAGCACATAGTTTCAAACTTCCCTTTAGAACGGAGCCCTCCAGCGGTGCCCTCTCAGCAGTGAAATCTTCACCCAGTCTTCTGGGCTTGTGGGCTCAGTGGTCACATGAATCGGGACCTCACACAGAGGTCCCCTACAGCGATCTGTGTTCCAGAGGACACAGCGGGCACTGATCGCGGTGCAGCGTGCTCCCAGGGAGCACGCACAGGCAATGGATGCAGGGGGACGTTTAGAAACATCCACCCGCATCGGCAGCGCTCCCGTCCGGCCATCAGCAATGGGCCAGACAGGAAGAGGTTAATAAAGCAGTTTTCACCCAGAAACATTGGGCATTTCCACATCCTCCCATTCTGTAGGGTGTCTGGGTTTGCTTGCTACTCTGCAAGAAATATCCATCTTAGATTGGGTCTGCCGGAGAGCACTAATATAGAAGATGTCATCACAGCTTAAAAGAAGAAAAAAAAAAAAAAACAAAAACCTACATTTTGTCTAAATGAGTGCAGATAAGTCATTTAATATCTACCTGATATTTTTAATTGACCTGCTGCGTCACATTTTCATAAGAATTTTCCAGATACATATATTTGTAGAATCTTACACTAGTGACTGTCTAAAGTTTAATCAGGACCATATGCAATAACTGATGAACAAATAGGACACCTGTGGCCTTAATAAAATAAAGAGTTCACCAGAGTGAATTCTGATTGGTTCCTATAGGTTACTGCAAATAAAACCCCCCAGAAATGTACTGAATAAGCAAGCTTGAGCACAATGATAGTCTTACTGAAAATATCAGGAAAACTAAGGTTCTGGCAACAGGAAAGAGCTAGAATCAGAGTTGACTGTGAAAACACCGAAATAGTAGACAGCTTCAGCCTCCTTGGATCATTATTAACAATGAAAGGATCCAGCAGTCAAGAAATACGATGCAGCCGTCACTGGGAAGGTGAAGCCTGACAGACCTAGAAAAGTGCTGCTAGGCCTACAAGTACAAAGATCAGAACTGTCCAGACTATGTATTTTTGGTCTCTCTCTCTCTCTCTATGGATGCTGGACTCTCAGCATTTTTTCAGCGCAACACATTAACCAATAAACGATTTGTTAAAAATCCTACCCCGGCATTTACATTTAAGACTCTCCATACCACTTGTTCCTGTTTCCCCATTGCTGCTTCCCTGAACTTCCAGAGTTTACAGGAAGTAGTTAAGAGTGTACAATTGCTGGGTGTCCACTGCATCCCTGTGCTCCCTCCAGGCATACCTGCTCCTAATCTATTATATATGTACTTCAACTTGGGGGGGGGGGGGGGGGGGGGGGGGGGATGGTTGGTCTTTCAAAATTATAGAGTTAAGACTGCAGTACACTGGAGTGCTGTGGCGTGACCACTGTAGCTTACGCATATAGTTGCAAATGTGTGCAAACTGAACCCTTTGTTTTTAACAAACTGTTAGGGTTAATTCGGTTTTGTTGCAGACTGGGAGGTAAGTGAGCTGGGAATGTTCCTGGTTTTTTGTTTTTTTTTAAACATTGAACAATGCAGCCAGCTGCTGGTGGTGGTGGTGGTGGTGGTGGTGGTGGTGAAGGGGAGCGCCTTTGCATTCTAGGCAATGGGGCTTTGTGTTTGTATGTACGCAGTATAGGGAGGACATTGTAGGGCCCAAATGCAAGGGTGACTCCACAGGAACTGCAAGAGAAGGAAGTCACCCTGAAAATGGAACACTTAAAAGGCAGCAGTCATGGAACCAGCTTAAACAGAAACATATGAAATTATTAAAAAGATAAAGAAGCTTTAATCTGGATGTCTTTACATCAGCCACTGAAAATGCCTAAAATGAAAGGCAACCCCCCCCCCCCTTCCATTTTGGTTAGAGTAAGGGGGTTATAACCCCAGTTTTTGTTATTGGTGTCCCACTGGGGAGATTTCCCTTCACTTCTTTTCCCATAACAAAAACCAAAAACAGGAAAAGAGAGGAAATGCCAAGTAAGAGAATCCCAGTGT